TGTGACAGCATCTATTTCTGAAATGATAGGGCAGATCATCTCTGTGGCGTTCATGTCAGAGCCATGACAAAATGCTTCTCCGAGATTAATAAGTGACAGAGAGAAGGCTGTTTTCAATGGAAAAAGGAAGCCAAGAGCTGGCTTGTTTCCATGGAAACAGTAGCAGCAGCAGGCAGAACAGCTGTAGAAGAAAAAGGCAGAAGTTAGGGAGGCAGAAATCTTTCTGATTTTACCTCACCGATATATCAGTGCCATCATATTCCAACTAAATTTAATGTAGATCAGACTTGCCCATGTTGAACAGGTAACTCATTAAGCAACAATTTACAATTAAGTCTTTCAATAGCCAGCATTCCAGAAATAAATTAATAAAAATGACTTATAATGTGATTTAGTCATCCTGTGTACACTATGGAGCATACAAATGCCCTTAACAGTGATGCCTCATGGTGTTTGTCACTAGGTACAAATCTTGCTGTGGCTTTAAAAGCAACTGCTGCTTCCATAGGCTGAATGCTTTAAGCAGAACCACTGTTTTTAGCTAATTTAAGAGAATGGACTCTCCTTTCCCACTTGGAAATAAAATTCAACACTTTGATTACCAAGATGGCAAGAGGAAATCCCTCTTTCAGTTTCTCTGCCATTCTTTACTATTTTCTTTGTACACTTCTATAATCATTTTCAGATATAAAAAGTCTTCATAATTAAAGAATTACTTAAGAGTAAGATCTAAAGTATACTTGCTTTCCTTCTTGCATAAAAGATAGAGAGTAAAGGCTTGCACTTATAAATTAAATGGCTTTTCTATTTTTAAGAAAGCAAATGAACTCTTCTCTTCGCTCTTAACCTACAAATGTATATTCTGAGCTAAGCATATTCTCCCCACTCCATTTATAGTGTCTCCATCAGACTGTCCCAGCAGCATTGCTTCCACCAGAAATGAAAGCTGTTTTGCATTATGAATAGCCAAAGTCCTAAATATAAACCATGCAATTCGGCCACCCTGGGACATGACAGGTATCTAGTTTCCTGGAAAAAAAAGTGCACAAGCTACCAAGTAAATATATGTTACTTTTATTAAGAATGCTCTCCAATATGATTTCTGGGGCTTTAGGTTGTTGAGGGGATCCATAAAATCATATTCTCCCCATTCTCCCTCCTGACTTATTTCAGCTGAGCCTTCCTACGACTAACCTCACCAAATGCTCGAGGCCAGTGGAAGCATTACAACAAGCCTCTGCTGATGTGACTCCACCACGTAGAGCAGCACACAGGAACTTTGCATTTCCAGCCAGCAGTGCTGCTTGCTGCTCATGTCCCGCTCCCTGCATCACGATGAAGTGCTGTAGGATTACTGTTTTTAAGAACACCTGCAAGGTGTGAGCGTAAATCCCAAACTGCAAGGCTCTCTGGTTTTGGGGTTTTTTTTTTTGCATTTCTGTGATCACCCAAGCAAACTTTACAAATACGAATGCTAATTAGCTTTTATCCTTCCCTTGCAAACCAAATAATGATGGTCTTTCTGACAGAAAAGAAAGGTGCAGCAGTGGGGTTATGCCAGGTCCCTACAGCCACCACACATGACACAGGACAAGCAGGCAGTGCCTGACTGTGTGCCCCAGACCACCACCAACCCACCCACCCTGGCTTCCCCGTCCCAGCTCCACACACAGACGGACAGGCTTCTCAGAGGGACAGACAGACAGCTGTGAGCATTGAGATTCCCCAGGGCATCTGTGAGTTCCTGCGCTAAGTACATGAATAATCCATAATCCTTAGGAAAAATCAATGACAAATGATAATTATTTCTTTAAGCAGTGCCATACTTCAACTATTATTCAACAGTAAAAGGCCTTAAAAGCTTAATTAATTTGAAATATGATATCTGAGACTGGCACTGACATTCTAGGTCCCTCTGGGCATCTGCAGACGCTCTTTCAAACTCGTGCTTAATTATGCCTCTTGTACTTTCTTACAAACTATTTAGACATTTCTTTGCACTAAAGCATAATGAATACTTTGTACTTATGAGGCGAGGGATGCCAAAGGATACCAAAATAGTCTACAGGTGTTAACTAGTCACACTCAGTTCACACGACTGAGGTAAGAATTGGATAAGGATCTGCTTCAGAGCTGCTTAAACCAACACACAGGAAGATTTATTTGCCCAATACATCTTTTCCTGTGACAGTATCTTACGCCAGCATCTCTGCACCTGCATAGCAGTGTCCTGTCAGATGGAAGTTTGTGAATGATAGCTCTATTAATCCTGGAGTGAAAGGAGTGCCACTCTACCCTTTAATTACAATTCACAGACTATAAAACCCAAAATGATAAAATGAAAACAGAAACAATATTCAGAAATAACTCCTGAACTTGAAATACAAAGTAAAGAGTTGCACGTTTCAAAGTAATTGTACATATGTGTATTACATTCTATATTTACAAAAAAAACATGGCTAGTAGATGTCACTCACTGATTAACAAACTGCACACATTAAAGTTGATTTTTTTTTCATCTCCAATGAAGCAAACCTTTTTGTCAACAAACTAGTTTCTCTATTTATATAACACCATTGGATGGTCTTGCTAGAATAATCTTGTGCGTGCACTATCCCCCAATAGGTTACCATGGCAACTTATATTTGAATTTCTATAAATTTCTATTTTTAGAGATCACAGTTTAGGATAAAGAAAATCAGAAATATTAAGTACCGTTTCATTAATAACAAATATCCAGTTTTTAATCAACATCATATTTCCCAGAATGGATATCGTGGAAGTTAAATCAGGCAGCAATGCTTTAAACAAATAAATAAATAATTACCACAGTTACTAAGAAAGTTTACCACTAAGCAGTCTCACCATAATCCCAGCAGTGCATGAGTCAGTAGCTAACACTATGAGACAAGATTGATGTTCACGGAGTTTTTCTTGCTTTCAGTAAGGCCAGGATTTCACCCAAATATTTTTAGAGTTAGTCATCATTTCAGCTGACACACAACAATATGCTGGCATTTGCCAGAATGCTCAGAAAATAACGTCTCTCTCTCTCTCTCTCTCTCAGGTGTGGGAAAATGTTGAACTGACAGTAACATCTCAGTTCCACGCTGAGCTTCCCATCACCTCAACTGCTATGTGTTCAGGTGTGAGCACCAGGTGTATGCCAGTCCCTAAGTGCAAAGGTGCTTTATGGTTTAAAACTTGCCAGGATTCTGCAACTTGTCTTCCTACTGGAAAGATCACTATACACAGTAGCAGAACTGAAGAAGAAAATTAAAACACCAATTTAGACACTGTTGCTACAGCTCTGACAGTGCCTGTGGTAGAAACCAGAACACAACACTTAAAACCAGTTTTTAAGAGGTCAGTATTGTTAATCTTACACTATGACATTAACTTAATTAGCACTCATTTCCAAATTTGAGAGGTATTTACCCGACCCACTGATGGTGTAGCATGGATGGGAAATTGGGCAAACCTTGCCTACAGGTTCTGTTGGGGTGGACTGAAGTGGGCTGAAAGCACAAGTGACGGCTCTGATTTTGGGGTGTAATGGCAACCAGCACCCTATCCTCGTATTCCTCCTGCTACCTTCCATGTAATGTTTACTTCAGGCTCATCAGTGCCCCAGCACAGTCCACGGGGAAGGCTCCGTAGCATAACAGCTGCGGGCTCGCTGCTGTCAGCAACTTTGACAGAAGCAGTGGTGACAGACAGGCTGCAGCAGGATCGCTGCACACTGCTGTTTTGTCAGGTACCTGACAGCAAAAGGAGCTGTGGAGTTCCGGCAGCGAGGATGTGAGCAACGCGTGCGAGTCGTTAATGAGCAAAACCAGAAAAAACTCCCAGAAGCGTCTTCAGAACTAATCCAGTATTAAAAATGTACTTCAACTATCAGCTGGAGCCAGCTGCCAAAGGTAAACAAATTGTTGGACACTGAAAACATTAACAGTGCTGGCACTCGGCAAATGTCAGTAATAACTAGAAGGATGTTGCTTTCTGTGTTGCCTAGCCCACTAAGTTCGTGGGGGTTGCCAAGTTTCACAGAACCTGCGCCAGGCCATGAGGTGCAACTCAAGAAATCTGTGAGCCACACATTTATGCTCGCATCTATCGGCTTGCCACGAAATTGGTATGGCTGATCAGGGGATGGCACTGGTTGTAACTGCACTTTTTGCAGGATGAGGCTCAGGTCTGAACGCTTCACGGGAAATCCCAGTAAATACACCACAAAAAACTTACTGATATTCTTAATTCGAGCACGTTTCCCATTACAAGTTCTTTTCACGCGTTACAGGGAGGATTTGTTGCTGGTTGCTTTTGTCACAGCTACGTTCAAGGCATGGCTGTGTATTTCTCCCAAAGGAGTTACAACTATTAGTTTGCTCCAAAGCCAGGGTTAAGAAAGCAAACTCCCGTCACCACTGATAGCAGCAGCTACCCGGCAGAACTAAAATCCAGATCGTACTCCAGAGCAGAAAGTAGCATCAAAAACTCAATTCCTTACCTAAATAATGAAAGCTTACTCTGTTCACCAACCTGCCAGTCACAGGCTGGTGAGGGTGACCCTGAGAAACCAGTGCGGGCAGTCAGGGTGACCCTCTGCCACACGCACTGCGTTGAACTCGGACCTTCTCCCAGCGCTGACAGAGGGATGCTGAAGGAACAAGGTGGCCAAGGAGGCTGCCACCACCTCACCCCAAACCCAAGGCTACCCTGAGAACTGGGGTGGGATGATGGCTCCCACACACCCCACACACCACCCTGGGGGCCCTCGGAAAGGAGCCCCTTGCCACCTGCAGACACAGAGGGCCACCAGCATCACCCCATGGTGGTGACCCACCCAAGCCACACTCCCACCCCAAGCCGGCCATGCTTCCCCTCGCCGCCCCGCGCCCCCACCAGTCCACCTCAGCACCCCGAGGCACGGACAGAGGCAGGGGCAGGGTCTCCCCTGGGCCCCCCTGGGGGCGGCAGCGCCGTCCGAGGGTGCTTACCCTGGCGGCCCGCGAGGAGTAGGGGTCCTCGAAGAGCGCCCAGACGCGGGGCTGCAGCCGCTTCCAGCGGCCCCCCTTGCCGTCGGCGGCCCCGGCGGCAGCCCCCACGTCCTCGATGCCCAGCCTCTTGGCCGCCAGGTCGTCGTCGTCGCCGTCGGGGGGCGGCTCGCCCGTCAGCAGGTCGGGCGCCTCGAAGATGTCGAGCGCCTCCTCGGCGTCGCGGTGCTGGCGGTAGGTCATCCAGCAGCAGGGCTCCACGTCGGTCTCGTCGATGCCCCAGAAGGCCAGCTCCTCCTCGAAGAGCGGCCCGCAGACGTCGGCGGGGCAGTGCAGCTTGCCGGTGCGGTAGTAGTTGAGCACATAGGCGAAGACCCCCGGGTGGCGGTCGAAGAAGAACTCGCTGGCCCCGCCGCCGCCGCCCCCGAGCCGGGGGCCGCAGCCGCTGCCGGGCTCCGGGCAGCCCCCGGCCAGGGGCGGCGGGTTGGGGGGCGGCGGGGGCGGCGGCGACGGCTCCTCGGCGCCGGGGGACTCGCTGCGGGACTCGCAGGCGAGCAGGGCCAGGCGGGTCCCCGGCAGGGTCTTCAGGGTGCTGCGGTAGGTTTCGTGCCGCGTGCCCCCCACGTTGAGGATCACCCTCTCGTTGTCCTCGAGCTTCCCCATCGCTCCGGGTGGGACATGACTGGGCAGGGGGCAGAGCGGGCGGGTCCGGGGGGGACGAGCTTCTGCGCCTTCAACGCGGACAGAGGAGAGAGGTGAGGGATGAGGGATGAGGGAGAAGCCCCCCCCTGGCAGCACCGCGCCGCTCCCCGCCCAGCCCGGCCCCCGCCGCCCCGGGCACGGCTCCAGGCGGTCCCCCGGTCCCCCCGGGGCGAGCTGCGAGCTGTCAGCGCTCCCCCCCGGCAGGATCAGCCGCCCAGCCCACCGCCACCACCGCCACCACCGCCACCGCCAGCTCCTCGCGGGGCTGGGGGAACAGAGAGCGGGCACCTGCCTTGTGGTAGCCGAGCAGCTTCCTACGGAGATAAAGAGGGGTGGGAGGCTTGTTCCCCCCTCCCCATCTATTTATGATTGCTTTGTGGGATGAAGCAGCTCGGGCGGCAGGCACACCCTTGGAGAAGCCGTTCGTGCGGAGCCGGGGCTGCCACTTTCCCAGGGAAACCACGCATCTCGGGGACGAGCCGGGGAAGGCAGGGCATCCTTCCCGATCCCCCCCCACCCCCCTACCTTGTCCCTGCCGCCCCCCTCCCTGCCCCTCCGGTACCTGAGCTAGGGGGCAGAAAGCGGCTCCCCTCCTCCTCCCGCGGCGCCAACTACTTGTTGTTTTCCTCCTGCCTCCCCTCCGGGCTCAACTCCGAGGGGAATACCAGCGGCGCCCCCCGAGCCCCCGCCTCCGTCCCTTCCCCGGGCCGCCGCCGCCCCGGCACGGCCGGCAGAGCATCGCGGGCGGCCAGCGGGGACACGGGCAGCGAGCGGCGCCTCCCCGGGAGCTGCGAGCCCCGGGAGCCCCCCCGCAACCTCCCCGCAGCCCCCACGCGGGGCCCAGGCTCCTCCCCGGGGCGGGGGGAGGCGGCAGCGCAAACAGATCCCGGCCGCCCCAAAAAATAGGCAACCCACCTTCCCCCCCCCCCCGTCCCCGCACACTGTGGTTCGCCTGAGGGAATCAGCCGGGAAGGGATGGGGGCTGCGAGCGGTGTTTTTTGTTTTCCTGATTTTATTTTCTTTTCGTGAAGAAAAGCGGCGCCCAGCTACAGGTGAGGGCAGGGAGGAGATGCCCGCAGAGGGTCCTGGCACCCTGCAGCCACCAGGGTCCTCAGGCACCATGGGCAGATGATGGAGGGGGGCTGCGGTTTGTAGGGCAGCCTGAACGCACAGACACCGGGCATAGGGTGCTCTCCACCCACAACAGGCTCTGGCCACCGTAGACTGGATTAAAGGTGAGAGATCCCAATACTGTACAAGGTACTGTAAACACCTGTGCTGAAATCTCTGACTCTAAGCCATGTGAGTTATTTTCGACAGCCTATTTTACTGATGTCTGGTTTCAGCTCAGTTGGAAAAGGAAAGAAATGTCCAGCCCCAGAAGATATGCAAGAGGAGACATGATTCCTCTTGCTCCTTCCTCAAAAAACAGCAATAAAACCAACATTTTTCTTCCATACCAAGCGTATTCCCTGGCATGAAGCAGGGTAACGAGGGGAATAATGCTATTGAAACATCCCCTTCCATGTCAGAGCCATGCTGGAAGCAATGCTCAGAGGACAACACCACACTTCGACCAGCTTCCTTTAACCCAGATCTGTCGGTCTGTGGCATCCATGATGTAAATGCAGACTCCCAGAGCTGCAGCAACTTTCTGAGATGAGTTTCAGAAGCTTGCTCCAGCTGTACATTTTGAAGTTCCTTGAAAAGAAAGAAAAAAAAAGAAAGAAAAAAAAAAAAGCTGGAATATTTCCTGCCAAGGCAAATATAATCAGTTAGTGAAAACTCCTGGGAGCCAAAATTAATATTCAATTACATAGCTGTAAATCCAGTGGAAAGGACTCACCCACCCTGAGCCAAAGTAGCACTGCTCACGCCATACTTGCTTTTCTTTGCAGAGAGGATTCTGGAGAAAAGGGGACGTGCAGAAGGAGAGAGCAAAGCAAAATGAATATGCATCATTGTCTCTCTGACCTACAAGAGGTTTCTGGAGAAATGCAATCAACTACATCTCTGCAGCATTTATCCATTATGGAAAGCCATGCGGTGGCAGTAGCTGCCAAAACACCAGGCAAACTGTACCATCGGTGTCAGGACTTCCCCCTGAACTACCACCGTCTGCCCAAATCCCACATCCATGGTCACATTACAGGACACGCACATCCCTCCACGAATAAACAACCAACCACCACAAACCAAAGACTAGCAAGGATGGCATCTCATAATCAAAACTTTACAGTCATACCCCATAACGCATATGTCATGAAAAGGCCTGTATATAGTTTATGCTTCAGACTTCTTAAACGCAGGGTAGTTTTGTGGATTTTTTGTTTCAATGTTTTTATATTATTATTATTATTATTCCATAGAGAAGAAGTAGCTACAAAAATCATTTTTATGATTGGTAAGAAAAAGAGTGGTCTCTCCGGTAATGTAATAGTCCCTCAGTCAAGTCAAAATGTCCATATTCTACAGCACGTCTGTTTCTAAACATAACGCTATTAATTTCTCTGTCGCTCTTCCTTGTATTTTCAGCATGTGGCAGATTTCTCAATGAAGGATGAAATTATGTCAGACACTGACTTTTCAGAGCCAAAATTTTCTTGACTGATATAATGGAATAAGAAGATAATATTCTACATCGGCAATAATAGTAACATTTACGAATTAATTTCACACCCCACAAGACACTGACCTGAATTTTGGCACCTCTCAGTTTCCAATAAAAGTGGAAATGTATGAAACATATGTAAGAAAGAAATGTGCCTCCTGAGTTAGGCGTACCATGAAATATATCTGCAAATGGGGGGACAATAAGCATAAACTCTCAAATATTTTCATGTAAAAGTTCAGTGGAAATGTTTCTGTAGCTCAGAATTTGGAACTTAATTTGAAGAACAGAGTGACGCTAGGTAATATACAACCAATTTTCCCTGCTTGATAGGTGTTATGAAAGGAAAAGTCCTATGTTATTGTTTTAACTGACAAAGCAATAAAATTAGCTGTGAAGACTGCCATCAGAAACCCAAGCCAAATGAGCATTTTAGTTACTAGTAGTGATCGTCATTCATGCAAGCTTGAGTGCTGCAAAGCAAAGTCATTGAATTGCCAGCTGTCTAACAATAAAAGAGTAAATGGAAGGAAGGCAGAGGCAGGGAAAAAAAAAAAAAAAGACACATGGAAAAGAAAAACAGATTTGAGGGCAAATAGAGCATACCCCTGTTACAGCTGTGCTCTGAACCACCTTCTGGAGGAGCTCTGGTGCCCAAGAAGGTCAACCTGCCCAACTACCTTCTGGAGGAGGACATAAGGTAGAAGCCACCACTTCCTGTTTTTCATACGATGTTGTAATTGGGAAACAAAGAAATCAATTTTATAATTGAGAGTTATAATGAAGACAGTGCAACACAGCCAAGATACAATCAATTTATATCCGTTTAGTTGATGATTAAATAAATGAACTAATTATTTTAAATATTCACCATCATTAACATTTTATTAAGCTTCTCCATGTTTCTTTTACTTATTTTTCTATTTTCCCTTATTATTTATAATCATCTCTACTATTTACAATTACATATACTAATTCATTCCAGATCTTGCAGAATGTGACAGCCATGTTATACTCAAGTATTCTGCTGATAAGTCAGAATCACTATTCAGAATTTAGGGGGAGGAAGAGGGACAAGCTTAGGTTAAGTGAATGTCTGTGAAACAACAATTAGAAAGCCATGGGGTAATTAAAGTCCACAAGGAAACAAAGCCAAAAGGAAGTTGTCATCATTTTTACATTATGTTTATTAAGGAAAGAAAAAAGCTAGAGGACCCAGGCTGGGGTCTGCTGAGAAGCCACGCGACACATTGGAAAAATGGGTGAGCACTAATTGCATTGCCTGGTTAGGAATGCACAGCACAGCCTATGCTCCCTGGAGGTGGGGAGTAATGTCTACAGTTTTCCATACATTAAGGCAGGCTTCAGATTTCTCCTATCAGAAGAAAGGGGTGTTGGGAAGCAATGTGGTCTTGTGCAGTTCCAGCTGCAGCCGCACATTTCTCATGGGGTTCCTGGCACAGCTCTGAGCCACACGGCTGTGTTGTCCCTCAGAAGTACTCCTCTTCTCTTCTGATGTAGTTTGAGACCCTGGAGCACACCAGCCTGCACGTCCTCATCCTCTTCTCAGTTCTGCAGTCCTTCCACAAGCGATCCAAGGATTTCAAAGCCACATCCCTCTTTGTAAGCAAGTCATACCACAAAGCTGCACCATTTCTTTGACCCTTAGAAACCATGACCCTTCACTTTTGATGAAAAAGGGCACCATTCCTCCAAAGCAGAAGTGGATCCCACACGCCCTTTGCCCAAACGTCACTCATGCCAGAATTCTCTGAAACCCTCTGGCTTTTTCATTCATGCCCTTAGCTCCCCTTGATTACAAATGTCAGAGATATTAGTAATGCAAGATGGTGGAAAGAAATATTACTCACCTGTTTCTGCTGTAACTCAAGTAGCTTTGTCAGTGCTGATTCATATTTGTGGGATGCACGTTTTTCCCTGGCAATGTGGGATATTACATTCTGCTCATGAAGGAGGCATTGCCTGAGGCTCTGTCCATATTTACATCTTTTGGTGACCAAAAGCCGAAATAGCAAGAATGAATTTTTGATCTATCCTGAAATTTTGCTTCAGTTCCAGCTAACGGTCAGTGATTTCTCTCATCCATAATCTGTCAGAACACGGTGCCACTTCTGAGGGACTGTCACGGGGCAGGGGGGGAAGGTTGTCTTAGAATGATCTAGTCAAGCATGTAGAGTCCAGAGGGACAGGGAAATGAATACAGCAACTCCAAACTAGTTTCAGCTCTTGGGTACAAGCTTCCATCATTCAAAGGGGGTTGATGATCTTTCCATTTGGAACCAGAAAGCCCAGAGAGACAGGGAAATGCCCAAGCCATGCATCTTCTCCTGCAGTATTGCTAAATGAGCCAACAGAGATATGCTGGCCTCCACTGGGTCTCACTTTTGTTTTCTGGTATGAATGCAAGCTTCATGAAAGTTTTGGGAAATGTAAGCATTTCTGCAATTTTCTGTTCTTTACACATCTCATTCTTCTTGACTGAAGCTTTTGAAGAACAGAACAGTAATAAAACTCTGTTATTACGCTTGCATTCAGCATAATGATGGTCTCATCTTGTTGCACATTTTAAGCAGTGCTATGATATAAATAATAATAAAGTCACAGTCCCCTGGAAGATACAGGCCAGAGAGCTTTCTTCAGCTACAGAAAAGCATGGCCTGAAAGATCTAAATCTGTCTAAACAGAAGAGATACCTTATTATCTATTTTAGTACATCCTCCACAGGAAGGAAAAGAAAAAAAAAAATCTATAACATAGTTTGCTCAGCAACATCTGTCATTTTGGTTTCATTGGCAAAGACTGTATGAAGAAACAGCCTATTTGCAGGGATACTCCAGAAGGACCATCAAGCAACCTAATGAAGAACTTAGAACAATCTTTAGTTTTTAGGTCTGAGTTGGATACAATTTGACTCAGACACACACACACACGTAACGCCTTAACATAATTTACAAAAATAAACATACATCTATCATCCAGCACACATACTGCTTACCATCTATCAATACAGAACAGCTATTCTATATTTTTAAAAGAATAGAAACACTCACTAAAATTCTCTAGGAGCAGTTTTGTTTCACTGGAAGTTAGCTTTGAGGGAGTCAAACAACCTTCCTTCAGATGCCATCAAAATCACTGGAAACACACTAAAGATCCACCAACATTTTCAGATGTGGCCAGTATTGCTCCACCTAGTTTGTGT